TTTTGTTAGTTTTCTTCTTCTTCCTTTACTCCCTTTTCTTTTTCTTCTTTCTCCTTCTTTTGGCATGAGGGTAATTTTTTTCATAACTTGGTTTGCGTTGTGATCATTATTACTATTATCATTATTGTTATTATTGTTGTTATTGCTGTCGTTATAGTTATCATTATCATTATTATCATTATCATAATCATTATGACTTTTCTCTACTACCTGTATGTTTAATTGCTATATTTTCTATTCTTCTTACTACTTCTACTGCTACTACTACTACTACAACAACTACTACTACTACTACTGCTGCTGCCATTATTAAAACCATTACCACTACAACTACTACTACTACTACTACTACTATTACTACTACTACTACCATTACTAAACTACTAATTCTGCCATTCTGATGTTTTCTTTTTTCATAATTTATTTCTTAATATTTATCTACCATTTTGATATAACTACCATTACTATTAATATCGATGATATTTATTATAATCACTGTGTGTGTGTGTGTGTGTGTGTGTGTGTGTGTGTGTGTGTGTGTGTGTGTGTGTGTGTGTGTGTGTGTGTGTGCGTGTGTGTGTTTGTGTGTCTGTGCATGTGTGTGCGTGTGTGTGTGTGCACGTGCATGTGCGTTTGCGCGTGTGTGCGCATGTAAGTGCATGTATCTATGTGAGTATGTATGGTTTTACGTGTGTATAGGTGTTGTGTTTTCGTGTGTACATATGTATATCTGTATGTGTGTATTCATTTCTTCGCCTACACTTGCACATATACTTACACATTCGACTGCCATCGCACAAGACGTCGACGTGTTCATAAGGGCCGTGGTGTGCGCATTGCAGCGACATAATCGATTCGCCGAGAAATTCACGGCAGGGCCCGGGTGGCTGTGACGTCATAGAGGCAGCTGCAGACTTGGCCCGCCACGGACGAACGCTATGGACCTTTGTTCCTTCAGGAGTTGTGGCGTTGTGGCCCTCCTCCTTCTCCTCCTCCTCCTTCTCCTCCTCCTCCTCCTTCTCATCCTCCTCCTCTACCTCCTCCTCCTCCTCCTCCTCCTCCTCCTCCTCCTCTCTTATTCTCCTTGTATTCTTCCTTCTCCTCCTCTTTCTTTTTCTTTTTTTTCCTCCTCCTCCTCCTCCTCCTCCTCCTCCTCCTCTTCCTCCTCCTCCTCTCTCATTCTCCTTGTATTCTTCCTTCTCCTCCTCTTTCTTTTTCTTTTTATTTTCTTCCTCCTCCTCCTCCCCCTCCTCCTCCACCTCCACCACCACCTCCACCACCTCCTCCTCCTCCCCCTCCTCCTCCACCTCCACCACCACCTCCACCACCTCCTCCTCCTCCCCCTCCCCCTCCTCCTCCTCCTCCTCCTCCTCCTCCTCCTCCTCCTCCTCCTCCTCCTCCTCCTCCTCCTCTCTCATTCTCCTTGTATTCTTCCTTCTCCTCCTCTTTCTCTTTCTTTTTCTTTTTCTCCTTCTCCTTCTCCTTCTCCTCTTCTTTTTCTTCCTCCTCCTCCTCCTCGCTCATTCTCCTCTTGCTATTCTTCCTTCTCCTCATCCTCCTTCTTCTTTTCCTCCTCCACCTCCTCCTTCTCCTCCTCTTCTTCTTCGTCCTCCTTCTCCTTTCTCCTCTTCCTCCTTCTCCTCCTCCTCCTTCTCCTCCTCTTCTTCGTCCTTCTCCTCCTTTCTCCTCTTCTTCCTCCTCCTCCTCCTCCTTCTCCTCCTCCTCCTCCTCCTCCTCCTCCTCCTCCTCCTTTTCCTCCTCTTCTTCCTCCTCTCTCCTTCTTACTTTTGTCTACACCCCCATCCACTGTCTCTTTCTATTTCTCCCTCTCTATCTCTCTCTGTCTTCTTCCATTTTCTCCTTCCTCTTTCTCAATCCTGTTTTATCCCTTACTCCCTTCTATCATCTATTTCTCCTCCTCCCCGTCACTACCTTTTGTCTTCTCCCTCTCCTCCCCCTCCTTCCCCACCTTCCTCCCCACCTGTGTGTCATCTGTTACTCACTTTTTATTTTCTTCCTTTGTTCCTCTTCTTTCACTTCTTCCACCCTTGTCTCACCCATTTCTACCTTTCTATCTTCCTCCTCTCTTCCTCTCTCCATTTCATTCGCTATTTTTTTTCTTTTCTTCTTCCTTTCTTCTTCCTTCTTCCTTGTCCCCAGTGATAGTTCCTTCTATCTTCTCTCGCTCCTTCTTCTCTTTCTCTCTCTTTCCTTACCCTCTTTTCACTCGCTCCTCCTTCCTGTCTTACTTCTCCATCTTTATTTCACCTCCTCTCCTTTCTCTTCTCCCTTTCTTCGCCTCTCTTCCCCCCCTCCCCTCCCACAGCCTTTATGTCTCCCTTTCTTCCTCCCATGTTCCCCTTCCCCCCCGCCCCCGCCCCCCCCCCAAAAAAAAAAAAAACCTGCTCCTCCTACCCTTCCCCCCCCCCGCCCCCCATTTCCCTCACACCTGCTGCAATCTAACACAAATAAATGTTTAATTATTAAAGGGGAAAGCAGAGGCGTGGAGACTTCATTCGGGTGCGGACAACGGTTCTTTTAGCCGCAAGACGTTTATTTTCATATCGTGTGAAACTGAAAATATAATAGATAGAAAATAAGTGTATATGTAAATGAATATGTATATATATATGTGTGTGTATATCTATCTGTCTATCTATCTATCTATCTATCTATACATATACATTTATACACACACATACACACACACACACACACACACGCACACACACACGAATACACACACACACACACACGCGCGCGCACACACACACACGAATACACACACACACACACACACACACTTCACAAGTGTATGTGTACCTATATATGTGCGTCCGTATGTTCATTCAGATGTATAACTATATAGTCTGTTTATTTGTATTTATATTTATCTATAGCTATATTTTACTATATAAATTTATATTCATACTCGATGCTCATTAACATTAACTTGTTATATATACTTGCAGCTATTTACCCTTGTTTGCATTTGTTTACATTCATCCATCGTTCATTCACCCATTCATCCCACCCTCCCTCCTTCTGTCCTTCTGTTCATCCATTCATTCATCCTTTCATCCTTTTTTCCATCAATTTACGCACCAACTCACCCGTCTGTTCATTCACCTACTCCACCTCTCACTTACCTACACTCACACTCACCCACCCACTCACCGACTCACCCACCCACCCATCCATCAATTAATCCACCAACTGACCCACCCACCCATTTAACTCACTCATCCACCCACTAACCCATCAACCCACCCACCCATTTAACTCACTCACCCACCCACCCATCAACCCACCTACCCACCCAGAACCAGAATCCAAATAGCCACACCCACTAACACCCGCCATCTCCTCCCCCAACAGTGGTGGAGCTGCTGCTGGAGAGAGGGAGAAGCAGTTGCCACCGCAGAAGAGCAACAGAAGTGCCACCGTCAGAGCCCCCTACAGTGTGACCATCAGAGAGCACAGACCTGCGCTGGGCGGCGGATATGACCTGGGCTCAGCTGTAGAAAATGAGTGAGGAATCCGAGTCTCTTAACGAGGAGGAACGAAGTTCATTTCGTCCGTTTACCCGAGACAGTCTAGCTGCTATAGAAGCACGGGTAGCGGAGGAAAATGCAAAGAAGAATGAACTACAAAAGAAGAAGGAGGAGGGAGAGGTAAGGAAGGAGGAGGAGGTGGAGAAGGAGGTGTCTTTGGTTGGGGGAGGTTTGGGGATAGAAGGGGAGGAGGAGGAGGAGGAGGAAGGGAGGAAGAAGATTAGGAGGAGGAGGAGGAGGAGGTGGAAGATTAGGAGGAGGAGGAGGAGGAGGTGGAAGATTAGGAGGAGGAGGAGGAGGAGGAGGAGGAGGAAGGGAGGGAGGGATTCAAAGGGTTTGTTTGTTTTTTTGTATACTTTAAGAGGACTGATTAGGAATGACGTCAGAGATTAAAAGTTCATTCATTAACAGTAGTAATAAACAAACAGTACGTTTTTAGTAGAAGACGACTTTTTGAGAAAGACTTTATAAGGGGAGACTTGTGGGCACGACTTTGGGCATGATGTTACTGACCTTATTCAGTGTGTCCTTAAGGCAGGCTCATGGTGACCGAATGATCTGAAAAAAAGTGAAAAATATTTGTTTAAAAATACAAATCATGATATAATGGTAAATATATATAAATTTACAGTTAAAATAAGTTGACCTCTTACTCAGCACCTGTTGACCAAAGTCTTAAAGGTCATTCTAGGTCACGATGAGCCATGTCTCCTTTTCCCTTTTGTTATAGATGTTTAATGTTGCAAATACTCGTCCTGTTCTATGACCCCCCAGTAGTGTTGTTGCAACCTTCAATATTGATGTTTTGGCCCCCCTTCATGTGACCTTCTGTTCTTGAGATGTTTACATGTTGATGATGTAGAGTAACGTAAGATTTATGTGTCTGTTAGTCTGTATTCTTATAATTGTATGTATGTATGACCTTCACTTCCTGTCCTAACGTTGCCCTTTTTATCAACATTACACAATCCGCTTTCCTGTAGTTGTTTAATGGTTTTTTTTAATTAATTAATGTATATTAGAAGATATCTTTTGTTGATTTGTTTCCGGATTTTTTTTTTTTTTTCCTTGTTACGTGTAGATTTTTGTTGTTGGTTTTATTTTCTCGTCTAGAAGTCTCTCTAGATGTATATTTCTCCTTATTGGATTAATTGAACTAGTTTTGTGCAGATTTGGTGTCCTTTGAAAACTGATTGGAAAGAACGTAGTCATTTTTTTCTTTTTTTTTGTTCAAGAACGTACAAAAATGTTGAAACTCGTGTGGGCCAAAAAAAAAAAAAAAGGAATGGTATATCTTCTGTTGTTTTTTATTTCCAATTCATGTAACGTATTGTAGACGTATATATATCCAAAAATATAATAATAATAAGAGGTAACCCTCCCTTTAAAAAAATATATATATAAAAAAGTGGTAGATACGTAGCAGAATTTGTCCCTCCCCGTCTTCGAAATTTCGTTCGTTACGTAATGGTTTCCGTTCTAATCTTCCCCGACAGTGACATAACTTTCCTACTTGACACTCCTCCATCTTCCGTTTTCGTTTCTTGGCTTCCGTCTTGTTTCGTTTTTTTCTTGTTAATGATTCAGACATTTCTGATTCCCTTATCCCGGGAGGAAGCTAATATCTACAGTGTACTTGCGGTTTGTATATATACGTGTGTATGTATATATATATATATATATATATATATATATATATATATATATATATATATATATATATATATATATATATATATAGGTATATATAGGTATATCTATATATATATATGTGTGTGTGTGTGTGTGTGTGTGTGTGTGTGTGTGTGTGTGTGTGTGTGTGTGTGTGTGTGTGTGTGTGTGTGTGTGTGTCTGTATGTATGTATGAATGCGTGTGTGTTTGAATATTTATATATATATATATATATATATATATATATATATATATATATATATATATATATATATATATATATAACTATTTATATTTATATTTAAGATATGTATATATATAAACATATATATATATATATATATATATATATATATATATATATATATATATATATATATATATATATATACACACACACACACACACACACACAGTATATTGTTGTGTGTGTGTGTGCGTGCGTGTGTGTGTGTGTGTGTGTGTGTGATACAGGACCCAGGTGCACGTAGAGTTGGCCTCCTCCCGCCATGGCCAGCCAAGCCGGACACGGACACTGGGCACGGGACAGACCACAGCCCTCAGCGCTGTGACTTTCACGATGCTTCTGGACACGCTAAGCTCCACTCAGAAAGGACTCCGTGGCTGTTCTCTCTGAGGCATTTAGGTGCCGATCCGCCCAGTGTCCTCGGCGGCTTGGCGGTGTCCTCAAGCCCTTCTGTCTTTCTCCCAATATCTGACTAATAATCCAGACTCAAGTCTATATATTTTCCTATCCGCTATAATATAATTTCTCATTTTATAACAGTTGTCTCCTTCTTTTTTTCTTTAATTCCTCCAGGGAGGTGGATTGAAATTTGGAAGGAAAAAGAAAGAA